CCGTGGCATGTAACACTGAAAGTAGTATTAACATTGAGTTTATAAATAATACATCTCATACATATTCTTATTATACTATGTATTATAATACATATTCTTAATATAATATTGTATTATATGTAATATATTATATATGTATTCTTAGGGTTTCTGTTGTTGTGATTAACACTAGGACCCAAAGTAACTTGGGGAGGAAAGGGTTTATTTCACCTTGCAACTCTCAGATCAGACATCACTCGGAGAAGTCAGGGCAGGGCGGGAACCTGGGGACAGGAACTGAAGGCAGAATCCATAGAAGATGCTACTTACCGGTTTCTTCCACAAAGCTGCTCAGCCTGCTTTCTTATACAACTCAAAATGACATGTCCTAGGTTGACACTGCCCACATCAATCGTCAGTCATATCAACTATGAAAATACTCCACAGGCTTGCCCATAAAACAGTCTTGGGTGGGTATTTTCTCAACAGAGGTACCCTCTTTTCAAATGCCTCTTACATGTGGCAAGTTGGAAAGCTAACCAGGATATGCTAATATATAATATACATATCTATAATAGCAGCACAATGCTTTCTTACCTATTCCACAGTTACAAGTAGAGAACCCCTGACTGATAGCTACTGAGTGGCCTGACAGAAAATCTGGATGGGCAGAAGCATTGAGTTTGTAACACAGGATATTATGAAAACCAGGGGCCCCTGTAGAAATGGTCACTGTGTGCTCAGAGAGTTGCTATCTAGAACTCAGCTAACAGATACAGCACATAGGCTGTGAAGCTGCCATTTTTGTACAAGAGTGGAGAACAGAAAAGAGAAAGTTATGTTTCCCTTCCAGACAGGGGAGGTTCTGTGTGGAGGAGAGAACAATTGGTCAATTGTGGGAAACAGGCTAGAGCCTTGTAGGCAAGGAAGCTTCTGAAAAATGGGGGCTGGTAAGCCATATGTAACAGATAGGCCAGGGGACAGAGATGGTTCTCTGTGATCTTTGCCTTGGTATGTTTTGCTTTTCCCAAAGACTACTATGCATTCCCTACATTTTACTTATTATTTTGTTATCTAAGTTTTTTTCAAGTTATTATTATTTCATGTAGATCTTTATTCTTTTATTTTACGCCTATTTTAATCCCACCATATCAATAATTGTTTAGTTTATTTTTGAGATTTATCTTGTTATTTATTTGTATGTCTTGAGTGTGTATTTATGTACATGTGGGCGTGTGCCTGTGGAGGCCGGAAGAGGACATTGGATCTCCTGGACCTGGAGTTGCAGGTGATTCCGAGCTACACAGCACGGATGCTAGGAACTGAACTTGGGTTGGAAGAGCAGCAAGTGCTCTGAGCCACCACGTCATCTCCCTCGCTCCAGTTACAGAGTCCCACTAGCTCCCAGATATTTATAGAGCATGCGTATTATTTCCAACTGTGCCATTTCAGGTATAATAAAAATACAAATATATATATATATATATATATATATATATATATATATATATATATATATATATATATATATATATA